AATGAGTTTAAATAGTTTAAATCAGTGTTCTTCAACCTGTGGTTCGCAAAAAAAATACTGGTCTACTGCTACACGATTTAGTTCCATTTTTTTATATGTAATTTTATGAGATTGTCCGCAAACGACTTAAGTAAGTTTTGCTTTCATTTTAAGTGTTATAAATATAGCAGCAATTGTATCAAGGACACAAAACAAGAATGTTAAGACTAGTGTTTACTGTGTAATAAAAGTATCATCTTAGTGTTGTTTGTGAAAAGCCAAAGAATATAAAGAACCATAGATATGAAAAGCAAAATTATGAAAAATCGAGACCAAGTTATACTTTTTGCTTCCAGCAAGGAACGTATTATCGTGATTTACATTAGTTTATATGAGAAAATATAAAAATCCGGAAATTTTGGAACGGATTAAACTCGTTAAGCGAGGTCTCACTGTATATGTTTCATTAGCAAACTAAAATATAAGCACTGAGAATATAGAGCTGGCAAATCTGTTATTTTTTGGACTTTGTAAATTTGATTCACAGTATTTAGTTTTAGGTAAACTTTATAAAATCAATGGTCACTTTACGAATTAATTTTAAGTTATAAAAATGAGTTTAAATCAGTGTTCTTCAACCTGTGGTTCGCAAAAAAAAAATACTGGTCCACTGCTACACGATTTAAGTCGTTTTTTTCATATGTAATTTTATGAGATTGTCCGCAAACGACTTAAGTAACTTTTGCTTTCATTTTAAGTGTTATAAATATAGCAGCAATTGTATCAAGGTCACAAAAACAAGAATGTTGAGACTAGTGTTTACTGGGTAATAAAAGTAAATAAACTATTGTTTATGTTTTATTCAAATTCGCAGTAAAAAATTACAAGATTTAACCATGACAATTTATATTTATACAAAGTGTAAAGCGTTAAAAAGATCAATCCACAAACGAAACGAAACAAATGTACAACGTTATTTTCTAAAAAAATAGCTTACATATTATGTATTTGTTTGAACCAATCAATGTCTTCAAATTCAAGAAACCAACTCTCTAGTCCACGTTCGTCAATTACATCGTTTACACGTTCTTACACCCTCGCCCGTCGCCGATTAGTAGTGACTGCTCTCTCTCTCGACACATTTATATATTTGTTTATCTAATCTTTCTCCTCTAACGTTTGCATCCATATATAACAATGAAAATGTCATCATTTGAAGGAGCCCACAGTTCCAATATGTTCGTCCACTCGAGAAGCACCGACTAACGTGCATTATAAAATCTATTCTAATCTTATTATATTCCATACGATCTTAAAATTGGTTTACTCTCAACGTTCAGAGTTCTTCAAGAAGCGTGCCTAGAGCGGACGAGGGCCTAAATTTAAGGCACAAATAAAACAAACAATTTCCTTACTAGATGCTACAACAAAAAAAAGAAAGAAAGAAAGAAAGAACGAGAAATCATCATCATAAATCGTAATAAATAAGTATTATGATTAAATACCCTGTAAAATAAGCATTTTAAAACAACAGACAATATTAACAGAAGAAGAAAAAAAAAACATTATTTCATTTAACAAACAAAAGAAAAAAACATCAGACTATATTTTTTAACTAACAGAAACATTAAATAATAAAATTGAACAAATTTTTCTATAATATTAATTTTGTATACTTTTAGAGCAACTTTATTATTTTTTTAATGTGAAAATCTCACTCGTTACACACGTCTAAACAAAAAAAAAATAACTATTTAAAAGGAAACAAAAAAAGAACAGAAGAAATATCTCTGAAAAGAAATCTAAGACTACAGCATCATGATACGTTAATAACGGTTACGACGACTGCTACGACTGCTTCCGTAGTCTTCGTGTCTTCTCGACGAACGGTGACGTCTACTGCTGTGGTCACGTTCGTGGTGGTAATCCCTTTCCCTTTCGCGCCGTCTGCTACTATTGCGATCCGAGTGTGAGTCGTAACTAAAAACACTCGAAATCAGGACCATCGCATACTTCCCCCATAACAAACATTTTCCTAAAAATCATTGCCGCTTTTTCCACACCATTCTCACCACTGTCTAATTAGCCTATGCCATAACACAATCCATTATTATGTTTAACCAAACCATATAAACTATGCCAAAACGCCATGAGCCTGATAAACCATAAAACAACAATTAGGTGCAGAAATTACCCAAAAACAAGTAAATATATCAGAGTAAATAAATATAATTGAGAGAAAAAAAAAACAATAAATAAATTTAAACCTAAAATGGGAGCCATTGTAATGTATTTAGATAGATTTGCTCTCTTAACTTGTGGTCCAAATGACCCAAATCAGTGGGTCAAAATATAAAAAATATGCAAACGACAACACAAAGTAGAAAACATAAACAAATAGATGATAAGTTGTAAGCTCATGATTTATCACATACTGATATAGACGGATATCTCAAGCAGTAAAAGTGCATTAACAAAACGCGTGGGACATTTTCTTGAGATATATAAAAATGATTGAATGATTAATAGAAAAAAAAAATACAATAAGCTCCCAAAATAATAAAAGAAAAATGAAATAAGAATAAATTATTGTAAATATCTCACCGTGATCCGCCGCCTCTCTTATCACCGCCACCATTCATATCTGGACAATCTCTATAAAAATGTCCCGTATATCCGCATTGGTAGCATCGCATATTCGGATTAAAGAACCGACGACCAGATCCTCTGGTCCTAGGTTTCGCATACGAAACTCTTATCCTGCTTCCGGCGACCTCCCTAAAAAACACACACACATTCTTCACTAAACATTTCACTTGCGAATCGATCGTATTATGTTCATTAATATTATGTTTACAAACTTTTAAGTTAATCTTTAATTTTTAATCGAATCCATTTCCTAGATTTTTGAACTTCATTTAAAAGTATAACAAAACATTGATATTTCACAACAGCCTGAACTTTATACCATCTAATTATTTCCATTAAAAGTTGTACCCAATAAAATGCATATGAAAACAATCCATAATATATGCTTCCTAAAAAAAGACCTGGAATTTGAAAAAAAGAACAGGAATAGATTTTTTCTTGTCAAATTCAAGCCAATGCTTCCTAATTTTGTCTATTAAACTTGACATATAAGTTAATTCAATGTATTTATTTTAATTCCATCCATTTATTTGTTTATTAACTAGATTCCATTTCACAAAAAAAAAACAAGAAATAAATTAAAAAAAATGTTCATATGAGATTGGTAGGAATTGGGTTAATTTTTGGAATGAAAAAAGGTAGTTATAAAGTTCATTATATATTTTTTTGTAGAACCATTAGACCTTAGAGCAATTAAAAAATAACTAATAATTATATAAAAATATTATTGTATATTTTTGTTATACAAAGAAATTATTAAATTAAAAAAAAAACAAGTAGCATTGATGATAACTAATGTTTTTTTTTTTGTAATAATATAGTAAATGTAGGTTATACATTGAAATTAATACTGTTTGGGAGAAAGTCCTTAAATCTATATAGGTATTATTGGGTTTATACTTACACACCGTCAGTTTCTGTGAGAGCAGTGGCAGCATCCTTTTTATCTTTATAAACAGCAAACCCGAAGCAGGGAGTGCTGTTCGTCATCCAAATCTCCCTCAATGTGCCATAACTAGAAAAGAGCTTCTCCAAATCGGACTTCCTTATATTCTCCCCAATATCAGCAATGTGCAATCTGTATCCATCAAACTCTTGACTACTGCTCCTAGATCTGGACCTGGATCGAGACTTTGTGTAGCTCGATCTCTGGCCACTCTTCTTACTGCCTCTGCTACTTTTTGACATGCTGCGGCTGCAGCTTCTGCTGCGATGACCCCTCGGTGATCCTTGCTCATTGCCCCTCATCTTATTATTAGAAATTCTAATGGCAAAACAACAAAAACAAAAAACAAAACAAAATTCAGTTGTTCATGTTATTGTGTGTACCTTAGATTACTTGATTTTTTTAGGACTGATATTTTCGTTGCCTTGTTGCTGCTTAGCTAAAGTAGTTATGTTATTGGTATATAGGAATTGTTTGAAATCGCTAGGAATTGGAGCGCTTCATGATGATTATTGATCAAACAAAATGAAGGATGTACATTGAAAATTATCATCGCCGATCCACAAATACGTGTGCATTTACAACGTTGCCATCGGTGGATCAAAGTAAAAGAAAACTAATTGGAATTTCTTTTAAAGTTATCAATCAATTGGCGCATATTTCAAATTCGCGGCATTTCCAATAAGACGAATCGCAACTTAATTAGATTCTATTGCAACGTGAGTAATTTGGCAACGTTGCGATCAACTGTCATCACTGTCAACTGTCAATGTACAGCGTTGCTCACGCGCAGTTGGTCACGTTCGTTTTCGGCTTTTATTTGAGGATCTTATTCTGTGTGAACGAAAAAATATCCGAAAACATCCACGGTTTTTGTTTGTGTCAAGGAATATTACTCTGTAAAAAGTGAAGATGACTGCACCAGCTGCTGGAGGCGATGCGACGAAGTTGCGTAGTGTTGTTTATAAGGATAAAAGCAAGCCGGCCGAAGTACGCCTAAGTAACATTAACGCTGCCAAAGGTAAATACATATATATGTGCATATATATATATAGATATATATGATGTAGGTTGGGCTAGAACATTCTATCACATGGTTTTTTAAATATCATTATTTTAAACAAAAAATAATATTTCATCTATTATTAATACACATCTGAAATGCTCACATAATAAAATTGTAGTCACGTATAAAAAATATTTAATTTTGATTAAATTTCACTTAAAAAATTGACAAAATAATTTGTTATAACTGACGTAATTTTCATTACTATCCAATACTAATTACTGTTGAATTTAAAATTTAATAGATTACTTTGGCAAATCCTAGTATATTTCAAAAGACAAATTCTTTGGAATTGTCAAATGTCTTCTTCATGCAGCCCTACCTTAATAATCTATGTTTTACTATAATAATTAAATCCGATTCACATTTTTAAATGCGTTTTACTTTCAGCTGTCAGTGATGCAATCCGTACGAGTTTGGGCCCCAGGGGCATGGACAAAATGGTTAATATAATAATTTACTTTTGTAATATATCTTTCATTATATATGTATATATTATTTGTAGATCCAATCTGGAAATGGAGAAGTAACAATCACCAATGATGGAGCCACCATTCTGAAACAGATGAATGTTATTCACCCAGCAGCAAAAATGGTATTGAGTGAAAGACATGTGACATTGTGAAATACTTTATGCATAATTTTTTTCAGTTGGTGGAATTATCCCGTGCCCAAGATATTGAGGCTGGAGACGGCACAACCACTGTCGTTGTTATTGCTGGTGCCTTGTTGCAAGCTGCCGAAAAGTTATTGAGCCGCGGTATTCACCCAACAGCTATCTCTGAATCTTTTCAAAGGGCTGCAACCCATGCTGTCAAGGTAAGATTTTATACATTGAAATGTATAATTAGTTTACACTATATTATAATATATTTTGTTTAATATGTTTAGATTTTGACCAGCATTTCCACTCCAATTGAATTGAATAACCGTGAACAATTAGTAAGAAGTGCGTCTACCTCGTTGAACTCTAAGGTTGTGTCACAGCAATCCAGCCAGTTGGCTCCTTTGGCAGTCGATGCTGTATTTAAAGTAATGCAACCTGGCCAAGAACGTATCGATTTAAACGATATTAAAGTGATCAAGCAGTTGGGTGGAACTACCGAAGACACAGAATTGATCGATGGTATAGTATTCCCTCATCGCACTGCTAACGTAAATGGACCAAAGAGGATCGAAAAGGCGAAGATTGGTTTTATCCAATTCTGCATATCCGCTCCGAAAACCGATATGGATCACAACGTAATCGTCTCCGATTACGCTGCTATGGATAGGGTCTTGAAGGAAGAGAGAACATACATTCTTAACATTATCAAGCAAATCAAGAAATCCGGTTGCAACGTTTTGTTGGTAATATAAATTGGCTCGATTACATATTTCACCGTAACTATAAAATGTATGTTTGCAGATTCAAAAATCTATTCTACGTGATGCCGTCTCTGATCTAGCTTTGCATTTCTTAGACAAAATTAAGGTCATGGTTATCAAAGATGTGGAACGCGAGGACGTTGAATTCGTTTGCAAATCATTGAGTTGCAGGCCTATTGCTTCTTTGGACCACTTTACCGCCGAGAATCTCAGTCATGCCGAATTAGTGGAAGAGGTTGGTGTCGGCTCCAGTCGCATGGTTAAAATAACCGGAGCGCAGAACGCCGGCAAAACGGTCACCCTGTTGGTCCGTGGCTCGAACAAATTGGTGTTGGAAGAAGCACACAGGTCAATTCACGATGCTCTGTGCGTAATCCGTTGTCTGGTGAGGAAGAAGGCGTTGATCGCTGGCGGTGGTGCTCCCGAAATCGAATTGGCTTTGAAATTGTACTCGTTGGCTGATAAAATGGACGGATTAGACGCTATTTGCCTGAAGGCTTACGCCAACGCTTTGGAAGTTGTTCCATTCACCTTGGCAGAAAATGCTGGTCTCAACGCTATCCAAGTAAGTGTATTAACATAATTAGTAAATAAGTTACTAATGCGCGTATATAGACCGTTACAGAATTGAGAAGTAGACACGCTAAAGGAGAAACATCTGCTGGAATCAATGTCCGCAAAGGAACCATTACCGACATCCTAGAAGAACATGTCGTCCAACCGTTGTTGGTCTCCATCAGCGCCGTAAATTTGGCAACCGAAACCGTTCGCTCCATTCTGAAAATCGACGACATCGTAAGATCAAATAATATCTATTGTTTCGTTTCAAAATCCTATTCAATTTTTCTCTGTTTCAGGTCAACACTGTCACATAAGAAGCTTGTCAAATGTTTCCTTCAATTTGCTTTCATTAATAATCATTAATAGTATAAATACAATAGTATTTTTTTGCACTATTTTCAATTCGATAACATAAGATACATACAAATCTAATTAAATTATTAATAAACTCATATTAATAAATTCGCTGCATTTATTTTCATATCCCTAAAATTGAAGTTTTGTAACTGTAACCAAAATAAAATACTCATTTTTTGTTTAATTATTAGTTTAAGAGCAATAAATTTATTGCAATTGTTTGGTTGTTATAGCAATTAAGTCAATCCTTGTTGTTTCTCAGTAAAATTATATCAATTTACTGACATGAAGAACATGATTATATTAGGATTATAGATGGGTAAAGGAATATAGAAAAATGTGAAAAGGCCTCTTCGTTATGTAATTATTTCATTAATTTATTACATATTGTACAAAATCGTTTTATATAATATACATTGTAGTAATTCACCACCCTGGGAAGTAATATAATCACATGTAGGACCCATCAGGTATGCATTTAGAACAAAAGAAAACTATACATTAAAGTATCTTCTCATCAAGAACTCCTAACTAGAAATGGAACTGAAAGACAAACGACATTTACTTAGCAAATTACACCATGTGGATGGATCAAATAAAATTACCTGTTTTGATTACGCAGATGAGCACAGTGAACACCACCAAGTTGGATATCACAGATTGGCGAGCTTTCTTCTTTTCATCGTCTGGATCCCTTGTCGGGAATGAACCTGATCCTTGGATACGACGCATTTTATATAATTCACTTTATTCGATTAAATTTAATAATAACGTGAATTTTTAGGTTACCAGTAAAAATGCGATTCACATTTGACAATCAATCAATCGTGAGCTGGATTAGTTTACGTTGGGTTCACAAAGAGGGCGACAAATATACTTACAATTTATTTTAAAAAAATATTTCTACAACATATCTTTTCTTCTTATAATAATAGATTGGAAAAGTTGTCCTATTAGTTATTTATAAAATTATATAAAATTTAGGTTTATATATCTATGAAAGGTGTATCCTTATTTATAGTGACATCTATTGATGAGTGTTGCTATGTTAAAATTGCATCATTTTTAGGAATAGTAAATTTATTCCAACCAGTCATAACCAAGTTTTGCTGAGTTCAAGTGTTGTGTGTTCATAAGTTTAGAGAAAAGTTAAATTTCAACTAAGAAGATGTCAAAAACGAAAGAATTAATTGAAAAGGACGAAGTAATTCAAGCTGTTTTAATAGCTGATAATTTCAACGATGAATTTTCCCCAATCACTAATGATCTACCACTGGTAACATTATTATACCTACATATTACATTAAATAACTTAGTTAATGTATAAATATTCAACCAGGCTTTACTTCCTTTGGTGAATAGACCTTTAATTGATTACAGTTTGGAATCGTTGGCTCTGGGAGGTATTCAGGAAACGTTCTTGTTCTGTTCTTCTCATGCAGATGTTATAAAGGAATACTTAAAGTATATATAGACTATTGACCATATGATGACATGTAACTAATTTATTTATATGTTTTAGAAATACAAAATCAGTATGGTCGCATAAAATGAAAGTGAACATAATTGTATCAGAAAGTTGCAGATCACTAGGAGATTGTTTAAGGGACTTGGACGCCAAAGGACTAATTAGAGGTAGTTTTGTGTTAGCCGAGCCTGGAGTCATAGCTAACATTAAATTGCTTCCAATTATTAAGAAACACAAGTAAATATAAATAATTGATACATTGGTTACATTTAAATTATTATTTGTATTGCAGTGAAATTGCCAAACACGATAAGGGAGCTGCAATGACTTTAATCCTTGAGGAAGCGGGCATGGGTCAATTTGGAAGATGCTGTAAAGAGGAAATTCTTGTAGCTTCCAATCCAAACAAAAGAATCTTATTTCTACAAAAACTTGGCATGACGGATAACAAGAAAATTAATTTCCCTCTGGACATATTTCTGGAAAACTCAAACGTTTCAATTCAACACAACTTAAAAGATACACACTTGGCAATTTGCTCACCCAGTGTGTTACCTTTGTTCTCTGATAATTTTGATTACCAAACTAGAGATGATTTTGTTAAGTGTTTATTGATCATAGACGAAGTTCTGGACAGCACTATTTATTGCCATACGATCAAAGGAAGCCAACATGGAGCAGCTGTTTCCAATTGGAGAATGTATCAGGCCATAAGGTATTAGATTTTCGTATCTGGTTTAAATTTATTAATAGCCGTAAATTGTTTCTAGCAAGGAGTTAATTGAAAACTGGATGCATCCCATATCACCACATATCAAGGGGTATTTTTGTTTTTCGTAAAGAATATTTTAGGATCAATTTTTTAAATTTTATTTCTTAGTTCTAGAGGTATTATAGCTGGTAAAAATTGCAAAATATCACCGCAAAATACTCAAGTAAAAAATGTCATTATGGGAGATAATGTGCATATTGGAGACA